TTTTTAAATTCTGTCATAGTGGTCCTACAATACTACTATATTTGGTGATGTAATGCCCGTGTTTTAATACATCCACCAGTGGCCTTTCACTCTCCTCAAGTCGTCAGCTCCCTGTCCTTCCTCTTTTCTTCCTTTGATTTCCTCACCCTGAATTCTCTCACCACAGTCCTGCCTTGTCCCTGTTTCCTCTCATTTTTCTACCCCTAAAGGAAGGCAGACCCAACTGTGGATCAGGCTGAAAAGCTCCCTATCTGTATTAGTGAAGAATGGAGGTAGATGGCTGGTAGAGGTGAAAAAAATATTTTAAATTGATATTATTATGTATGTATCCTGGATCAAGTATAAAAACAGCTTCCAGAGGCCAGGACACTGAGAGGAAGGCACTATATTCCAGTGATGTGGGAGGACAGACAGGAGTCAAATCTGACTCATTCACATTGAAATCAAAAACTTAAAACTCAAAAGTTCAGTTTACAGTAGTGCCTTGCTGAACTAAACTCTTCTCTCAGAGGTGATACATTGCAATAGGATTTTGAATTGCATGAACTTGTGTTCATGTGTAGAAAGAGTTTATTTATGTCTCTATAATTCTATAAACAGAAAAGGAATCTGTGTACCAACTGGCAGTGTTTATTGCAGAATACTTCTTACTCAAGGTGAGGCTTTTTGAGCAAGCAGAGTCCAATCATGGTAGAGCCAGTGTTACAGAGGGAACAAGACCAGAGCCTCCATCTACACCGGTGGAACTGACACAAATGAAGACTGACTGAGGTGCTGCAGTGGAAAAATTAACTAGAATCCTTTTTTCATTATAAAAAAAAATTATGTGTCTGCACAAAGAGGCACGTAAGTTCAAGAGGATCTATCCAGCATTATCAAACAGATGGGTTTGTTTGAAGGTAGAGTCTGAAGAATGTATTGGAACTTGGTTTACAGTTTACACATTACCACTTGCCCAACCCAGGAATAATCGTTAATAGCTGAGAAAAAAAAAAAAAGTCAAAATATGCAGTCAGATTTTGGTACGGACACAAAAAAGTTAAAATGATCATTATATATAATATTTTTTTCATTTTTAGCCTTTAATTTTATTATAGTTTTATATAAGGTTTAGTTTATTTTTTAAATGATGCTTTTATCTGCCAGTTAGTAATACTAAAATGATTGTTTAAACTTGTATTTTTTGTTTCATAATGTTCCTAAAGTTTTTGAGATTAAATGTTTGGTTTTGCTGATCTGTTGGGAATTCATAACATTTTTAAATAAAGTATTGGTGTTGCTATGTTAACGTTTCCAGTATGCTCCAGGTTTGAGTTCTTCATTTAGAAGATGTCAAGGAGCACTGGATGGGCCCAAAAGATGAGAGGACTTAGTGAAGAGTGGCTATGGGAAGAATGTTTCGAACAGGCTTTTTGTTTTTTTAAATGAGAAAGAACACAGTGCGTATGTACAGCTGAAGTTCAGTTTAGTTGGTCTGCAGGTGAGGAAGGTCTGGCTTAAGGATGGCTCACAGACAGGTGACTTGGAAAATATCCAAGCCCTTAGAGAACCCATGAGTGGATTTAAAGCTTCATGATGGTCAGTCAGGTATGTATTTTAAAAGGAATAAACAAGTCAGATAAAAGCAAATCAGTTATTCCAAACACACAGGCAGATCATGAATAGGGTAAGCACTAGGGAGAGTCAAAGGGCCTGCAGAGTTGTGAGATACTGAGGGACTGGCACTCAGGGGCATGGCCAGGTCTCATCTGGGTACCTGGGTGAATGTGGCAGCAGTTTCTGAAAGAGCAGGAAGGAGTCTTGAGCATGGGAAATAAGAGTTCACTTTCGTTGATGCTTGTGGCACAGACCTGGTGCAGACCGGGTTCCTCTGGGGAGGTGTCGAGATGGACGGCTGAGCGAGGTCTAAAGTCGCATTTAGACTTTTGAGCACTGCCAACATAGTGTTGATGGTTGAAATTCTGAGAATGGATGAAATAATCATGAATAAGAAGTAAAACTAAGCAAAAGCATCCAGAATGATAAGACAGTCAGAAGTGGGTGATGCCATAGAAACAGGAAGTAAGAATGTTCTAGAAATAAAAAAGATAGCCTATACTAGATGTTACAAAGTTTGAACAAAGAACAAAAGTACTGTTTGATCTCACTTGTGAGAGTATAAGGATCTAAAGTGAAGGATTAAACAGCCCCTGCGACTTTCCTGTGGAAAAAAGCAAAAGGAGGCAATGGTTTAGTTGTACAGGATGATAGAGGCGAAGATAAATAGCGCATAAAAGATGCAGCGCCGGGAAAGAGCAGCTAGAGGGGAAGCAGAGGAAGTTGAAGAGGTGGTGATGGAGGCACCTGCATTCCTGGAAGGGTGGAGTGAGCTGAGGCCAGGGTGGAGGAAGCTGGGGCTTTGGGCTGTAGGGGAAGGAAGCCAAGGCTGGCGGCAGGTCAGTTTGTGCCATGGTAGAGGGGAGGAAGTTTGCTCCTGAAATGCTGCCTGGTTGCCTTTTTTCATCTTTATAGCATTGTTACTGAAGAGGTAAAGGGGAGTTGGAGAACAGGACATGTTTGAAACAGTAACTCTGCAGAAGCAGAGAGTGAGTGACCACGGGAGGTTCCCATGGACAAACTGAGGTTATTGATGATGAATTGAGAGCAGCATGTCTTTGTGAATTTTTCCAGCAGCTGGAGTAGTAGTCCACTGAGATCTGAGGGGTATATGTGACCTAGAGTCTGGTTTTGTCTGACCGCTTAATGTAGCAGGGAAGGAGATACAGGGGGTGTGGCTCACTCCCCTCTGACACATCCACTATTGTTTTGTGCTGTGATATTAAATACCTGCCGAGGGGTGTTGAAGTGTGTCAGCTGAAACTTGTTGCTCCTTCAGTAAATGGTCCCAGACTGCCGTCTTGTTTTCCTTTAAGTTCCTGTCCGCTTTTTTATACTATTTCTGTCTCCCCCTTTCTGTTTTCTTCCTTGTCGTCAGTTGTTCTATCACATTGCTGTCTGCATGCAAGTTTCTATCAGCCCTACACCCAGGACTTTGTCAACATCGGGGATATCACACCTCTGAAATAAAGCTGTGGGCTGGAAGACCAGACAACCAAGCTTGTTAGAATTATGTGCAAAGTAAGAGGAAATAAACTGAGTGTGATTCTCATGTGCTGTGCTTTGAGGGTGTACATGAGTGTTTGTACATGAGTTTTGTAGCAGTGGATTGTTTCTCAGTTGTCCATATATGAAATGTTTGTTGCCTGTATTCCCATCGTGTCTTTTCTTATTTTGAATTTCCATGGATTATAATATTCTTAGAGCCTGCAATGTATATGATTCTATCTTATGAAATTGTACTTTAGTGTCTGCAAAATATTTTCAAATGTATTACCTAAATTTTCAAACCATATGACTAGATATGCTAAATTATTTATTATTCTCATGGATTTTCAAATACATATTTTGTATGGAAGTAACATTTTCAAATATTTATGTATTTTGTACACCAATAATGTACCATGTCACAGCTTGATTATGTAGTCATGTCACATGTCAATGACATAGAACAATGCAAAGGAAATGTTTGGGGGACTCAAAAAAGTTATCTACTCTTCCTTGTCACATTTTCATGTTGTATGGATTTCCTCATCTGTGACCATCTCATGTGCATATCAACAGTTTTAATTTTTAAATAACTGTATATTAAGTGCCCAGTTTCAGTTTATCATTTTTCTATAAATCAATTCTTTTCAGTGCTGGGAATTGAATCCAGGACCTCATGCCTGTGAGGCACTTACTTGACCACAGAACTGCATCCCTCGCTCCCAGTTAACTTCATTCTGACCTCCACCTTCTCTCTTGTCAGGAGTATGTTACGTTTCATACACTCATTGGAAGATTTTGCCTTACTCCTACCCCCACCCACCCAAGGCCACGCTAAGGGTTGAGTAGTGAGAACACTGAGCCCCTGCTTCACCATACCTGGTCACTGGTTAGCTAGGAAATGCCTATTTTTCCAGTACCCACTGTACCCTCCAGGTTCTGCCCAGACACCAATTGTGCTTATTCCATGGGAACCATTGGTAAGGCTAAGAAGCCTGGACGCAGACTCTGGCCTCCCTGTGGCCCTGTGAAGCCTGTTCCTCTACCTGGCATAGGCTGCCCTGGAGCACAGGACGGCCCAATGGCTCTTCTCTCTGGCATAGGGACATCATTTTAACCTGAGAGAAATCCCTCTCTTCCAACTCTATTCTCAATAGGTTTGGCATTTTTCTAAATAAATTCTAAAAAGCCTTAACACAGGGAACATACATAATGTAATCTATTAAAATGGTGACATATAGGAAGAAAACACAGACTCCCAAGAACTTGAGTAGTGAGTTGTAGCAAAATAAATCCTCATGTGCCCTCTCTGCTTGGCGCTGTCTTCTTCAGGATGAGCTCTGTACAGCCTTTGTTTTTATAAGCCAGTGAAGGATGTTAAACATGCGTACATCTTATTGATAATTTCTAAGGGGTGATCTTGAATGGTGTTTTCCAGTGTTAGATATGTTTTCTAATTCTGTTTTATTTTATTTTACCTAAGAACACTGGAACTATTTTGGGGCTGATGAGAATCTGGGTCCTGTGGCTGTGAGCATTCGAAGGGAAAAACCAGAAGAAATGAAAGAAAATGGATCTCCATACAACTACAGAATAATTTTTAGAACTAGTGAGGTAAGTTGCAAGTGGGGGGAGATTTGTGACTGAATTGAAGGAGGGAAACAAGTAGAAGCAGTGGTGGAGGCATTCATTTGAGGAGCGTATGGTATATGGTAGCTGTGGTCTCACATCTTCATGTCTTTGGAACAAAGGCGGCTCAGGGCTGGGGAGATAGCTCAGTTGATAAAATGCTTGCTACCACCTGAGTTCAGGTCATAGCACGCGAGTGTAAAAGGCCCAGCATGGTGACATGTGCTTGCAGGCGCAGCACTGAGGAGCCAGAGATAGGCAGATCCTGGAGCTTACTGAGTAGACAGACTAGTCTACATGGCAGCTTCTAGGCCAGTGAGAGACCCTGCCTTTAAAACGCAGTGGATGGCACTTGAATGACACCTGGGATTGTCCTCTGGCCTCATCCACTCATGTGTACCACTTGCACACAAAACAAAGCTCCTCTGTTCATTCTGGTCATGCAGGTGAGCACGGTTGGTTAGCTCTATCTAGTTGTTTCAATCTATCCCTGGGTGGATGTAGTAAAGGAACAGAGTTTCAATTCAGAGAAAGATAGGTCCAGAGAAAACTGGAGCCGTTAGATTCACAATGAGATATATATAACCCATCCTACTTGAACAGCTGAAAAGCACTCAGCCATCCAGAGGAGCCAGAGTACTCAGGGATGAGAGAGAACCGCCTGAGACTTGGCATATTCCCTGAGGCCTAGAACACAGATTATTTGAACCAGAAAGTGATCTATTAATGAGTGAAGCAGGCTTTCTGAGCTCTTTAAATATTTTTAGTATATTTATTCATCTAATTTTATATCATGTGTGCTCACACATGTGGGTCCAGGTGGATGTCAGAGGACAACTCGCAGGTGTTGGGTTTCTCCTTCCACCGTGTAGGTTCTAGGGATCAAACGCAAGTTGTCAGGCCTGGCAACAAGTGCCTTTTCCCTCTGAGCCATCTTACTGGCCCTCCCAGAGCTCTTTAAGAGTCTGAATACATGGAGTTTTATTTTAAGATGAAGCTCAAGTTTTTTTGTTTTGTTTTGTTTTTAAATAGCCTACAAAGCATTTTTTAAAAGAGCCTTGTGAATAATTTGGAGGTTCTTTTTGTTTTCTTTCTAAGCATATGTATAATTATTTGTTATCAATGTATTGCCTCAGCTCCTAATTCACTTTAGGGTTGTTCTTATGTATCAGTGCCTAATACCCCTGAGGTACCAAGAAAATAATGGTTTTGGAATTAGTTTAAATGGAACATTCGGCTTCATTTCCCTCATTGAATTCAAGGCAACTTTCGGGGGTTGGCATCACTTTCTAACTGTGCCTGAGCTTGAACTCTGGGGAAGTTGAAAATAGGGTTTTTAAAGCAAGGCTTTAACTATCTAATGTGTTGTTTGTAGTGGCCAGGGAGGAGTGAAGAGCCGGCCTGTGTTCTCTAGCTTTTCTTGGAGCTGGGTCCAGTCATGGATCCTTGCTCTCTGTTGGGCATGCACCTGCAGTTTGGGTTCTGTGTTGGGAGGCGTACACAGCAGCCCTGCTCCCAGCTTCAGATCTACCAGATGTCTGTGAACCACCCTTGCCTTATTTCCAAGTGTGTTTTTCTTCGGCGCCCCCCCCCCCATTATGCCTTTCCTTTTCTGTATGGCTTTTTATTCATTTATCCTGATCCTGTATGTTGAGCTGAGGTGTTTTCCTCCTTGAGCCCTTACTTCTGAGACCTTATCCTGACTGTGTCTGTCTGTACTGCCCCCCTTGCTGTCTGGGGGTAACTTCTACACTGTGCTCTATGAGCCCCCAGCCTTTTCCTTCCTGCCCTGTCTCTACCTATGTGCTCTGCTTGCCCTCCCTCCTGTTCTGTGGCCACAAGTTTGGTCCTCTTCCTCCTGGCCTACTCAAGCAAGTCTGTCTCTTGAGTTCTTTCCCTTGGCCTTTAGTTGAAAAGTCCATGTCAGATTGTTGTTCAGAAAACTATTCTACATGTTACTTAGATTCAAATTAAAAATGTTAGCTCCTGGCTACTTCTACGGTGCTGTTTGGGTCAGAATTCCCGAAGTTACATTTGACTCCCCTTCTCCCCTTCCCCTCATCTTGTTTTCACAACACACTATGTCTAGAATGCAGCCACTTCTGTCCCCAAGGCCAGGCCTGGTCTCACATCTTTTCAACCCAGCAGGAAATCTCTGTGAATTGTAATCCAGGTCTCCTTGCTTCTCCTTCAAAATCTGTTAGCGTCTTCCTAATGACCTAGTGTACCTGCTTAGTCCTCTCCACCCTCATCCCTTGCAGTTCTCCTGCCTCTGGCTTCTTCCTTCTGGGCTACCCTAGGACACCTCTGCCTCAGTACTGGAGTGCTCTTGTGTTCCTCTTGGGTGGTGGCCTCCCCCAGATTCCAGCACTCTCTTTGCCTCTGACCTTTACTCATAAATTGCAGCATACTTCTCTGGCTACTGGATCTAAAATTTCTGCTTTCTTCCCCTTTCATGTCCTAGTTCATGCATTTCTGTTAACACTTATAACTGTCTTACATAACATTGTACATATTTTTGTTTTGCTTCTTCCACCAGAATATAGGCCCCATGAAGATAGAGACTTTTATTATTTGCTCTTAGTATGTATCTAGTGACTAAAATAGTCTCTTTGCAGGGCTAGGAGTATAGTGCAGTGGTAGAGTATTTGCCTGGCATTTGCAAAACCTCCCATTTCTTCTCACATTTAACTTATTTATCAGCTTAATTTCTCCCAGCGTGCACTGTCATTCCACCTGAACACCTTTGAGACTGTGCAATGGAGCCAGGAGGTGCAAAGCCCTCCCTCAGGTGCAGGGCCTTCTACCACACCTCCCTGCTCCATCGCCCTGCCTCCCAGTTGTATTAAGGCTCAGCGATAGCCATTGTCCTTTCCCACTTACGTTCTCTCATGCCTTCCCTATCTTTGGCTTATCTTGGGACATGCCCTCTTGTTTTCTTCGTGAACAGTCATCCCTAGATTACATGTGTGTGTTTCAGCACTTACATCCCCAAACATGTGCTCTATTAAATAAGCTATCATATTGTAGAATACTTTATAGCATATGTAGTTAATGGAAATCGGCTCTAGGCCTCATGCCTGGGTTTACTTTTCTCCAACAACTCATTACAGAGAGAATGTCTTTGCTTGACCTTGTATTGGATCATAATGGGAAGTAATTTCCAGTGCTGTTGACTGAGCTGCTGGATTGCAGTCATTGCTCTGTTACAAGACAGTAGCAGCTTGCACATGTCAGCTACATGTTAAGGAATGCGTGTTATCCTCTCTCCTACCTTTTAAAGAGGTGTACTGTCTAAATTCTAAGTATTCTTCCGATGTCTCTCTAGGATGCTTCCTTCGTTGTACAGGGATACAGAGACCATGACCCTATGTATCTCTTTAAGAGAAGGCTCTTTTGACACTTACATGAATGTCTCAATACTATAATCTTCTGAAGTTATGTGAGGGAGGCAGATTCTTGAAATTATTGGCCTCAATTTTATACATTAAGTATCTTATCACTTCTCTCACTCATTATCCCTGCTGACTTGACCAATCACCAGCCATTCCTCAGCTTGGGACAGAGCTACTGTTTAGGCCTTCGGTTCCTGTGACACATTCAGCCTTTTATACCCAGCAAGACTTCACCATAACACCTGTCTCTCTTGCAGCTCATGACCCTGAGAGGGTCCGTCCTGGAAGATGCTATTCCCTCCACAGCCAAGCACTCGACAGCCAGAGGGCTGCCTCTGAAAGAGGTGCTGGAGCATGTGATCCCTGAGCTCAATGTCCAGTGCCTGCGACTGGCCTTCAACACACCCAAAGTCACCGAGCAGCTCATGAAGCTCGATGAGCAAGGGGTAAGTGTGACCCAGGATCCCATTCTCGCTGCTCAGGTTCCTGCTGGACTTCCAGAATGTGGGCTTTGATGTTTCTTCTGAGATGGGGGGGAACTATGCCATTTTTTTGTGAAGGGTACTCTCTTCGTGATTATTCATGGGTCTCTGAACATTTCACATCTGATAAAATTCTCATGGCAGAGCTAGTAGATAAAATTTTTTAAGTATAGTCTTTTGATAGTCTGTTTTGATAGTCTCCCACACATGCAGTAGATTTCTGAGACTCTTGGAAAAAGTTATAGCTGTAATAACAGTAATAGTAAGCATAATATTATTATATTAGAAGTAATTAAATAGTAGCTGTTAATTACTAACACTAATGAATGTATTCACCAGGTTCTGTTCTAGGTATTTTAAATATGTTGCTCCATTTAATCTTCTAACCTTAAAAGAATAGTGCTATTACTATATCCCCATTTCAAAGACAAGAAATCTGGGGCACACAGATTATATAGCCAGTGTCACTGTTATTTTATAAGTCATGGAACCAGGATTCAAACACAGCAGTCACCTGACTCCAATCCTGTGCTATTAGCCATTACACCATAGCATACAGCTTAGGTTTCTAAAAGTCTGATTTTAGTACTACCAAGGATGTACTTTACCCAAGATTTTTAAGTCTAAAATTTTAGAATTTTGACTTTGAATCAGTAACGTAATTAAAATGCTCAAGATCTCCTGCTTCCACACCTCTTATCCCTAAATATGATGTCATTTGGTCAAAATGCACCAAGTGCTGAGGTCAGTGGAATAGTGGCTCTAGAATGAAAGAAGAAACTGTAATTTGAAACCGCCACCAACCAAAAAGTGATGGCCATAGTGTGCTTAGAGTAATTTTGGCATCAGGGTTTATTTGGTAGACACTATACTTCCACGATCCTACTTTTAACTGTTTCTTCTAATGCTTTAGCCATATTGCACCCTAGCAGTTGGTAAAAGTAGTCTGGACATTGCATTTCAAAAGTTCCTCAACTTGTAAAATTAGCCCAGGTATTGAGTATCATTTTATGAACAAATTATAATTGCATTTCCTTAAATAAAAACTCTTAATTTTGCCAGGCGTGGTGGCGCACACCTTTAATCCTAGCACTCCGGAGGCAGAGGCAGGCGGATCTCTGTGAGTTCAAGGCCAGCCTGGTCTACATAGTTCCAGGACAGCTGGGGCTACAGGGAGACCCTGTCTCAAAAAGACCCCCCCCCTTCAGAATAGACCTGCTTCATGGACTTGCTCGTTCTGAGGACTGTTTTCCAGCATGTATTCTGGACATTAATAAATGAGGAGAAATACCATGACGATGAGGTTCAGGTTTATTGGTTCAGTCATTTCAATTACTGTGCTTACCCAGGAGAATAAACCTACTTGGCATTAGTAATGTAGTCGTATACTTAACATTCTAAATCTATATTAGAAGATATTACTTCATATAAAGAAGGTGTTTTATTATTATTCCCCTTCTTCAAAACATAAAAGGATGCTCCAGTTGTAGATTTCTATGGGATGTCTGGCACATTTTATGTTCTCTTAGTGACTGCGTAGTGTTGGGCCGCAGATGGTGCTGATCTATGATGAACATTTTATGGCCCTTCCAACACAGGAAACAAAATGGGATTTCCATAATGAGTTTAACTCAGTTAAATTTATTTAATGCATAGGATTGCCCATTCTATAATGATCATCTTCCTGTTCTTGGTTATTAAAATGTCTTTTTTCATAAATTATTAATCATGATATATGGTCACTGTTTTCTTTAATTAAGCATTAAAATTTGGCAGTGGTGGGTCTCCCCAGTTTTATTTTGGGAAAAAATGTGCCTTAAATATGTGTTCCCATGAAAAAGGGTTTTCCTCTAGGCAGTAATTTTAACCAGGCAGTAACCTTTAGCAACTGAAAGCATGACGCTGTGCCATGTATGAGCTTGATGCTGGACTCAATGTTGACCACTTCTGTCTTTTTATCTTCATGTGTAGCGTTCCAAGCCGGGATCCCATGGGTACATGCTGGATGGTGGGCCCACTTTACACAGGAGTACTGTTTGGGGCAGGAAATTCCATTAATGCCTTGGAGCCGTTTTGAAAAACTAATTATTTTGGTGCTTTTACAGTTTCCTATTTTAAAAAGAAATGCATACAAGCAGTGTGTACCACATGAATCATTACAGAGCATTTCTGTTTTCTATCTGTATTGTCAGTGTTTAAAAATTCAGCTTTTTATATACCCTTAAAGATATTTTTAGTGTGATACCAGGAAACTGGAATTATTCAAAGGAACTTTGAAATCTCACTTTAAATTTTAAAAATTTTGTTATTATTATTGTTATTGGTCTTTTAGAGACAGGGTCTCCCTGTAGCCCCAGCTGGCCTGGAACTTGAGGTGTAGACCAGGCTGGTCTGAAACTCACAGAGATCTGCCTCTACCTCCGAAGTGCTAGAATTAAAGGTGAGTGCCACCACACCCGGTTAATACTACCTGTTTTTAAGGCTTGCAGTTTTCCTTTATTTTCTTGTCTTGAATGACTTCCATCCTTAAACTGTGAAATACTAGAAATTTTATTTTCTATTTGGTGACTTTTTTTTTAATCTGTTATTTTATTATTTTTAAAAGTATTTTATTTATTAGGCTGGAGACATGGCTGATTAAGGACAGTTTGTAGCTGCCATGTGGGTGCTGGGAATTGAACCCGGGTCCTCTGCAAGAGCATTCAGTGCTTTTAACTGCTGAGCCATCTCTCCAGCCCCTCTGTTTGGTGACTTTTAAATTGTATGGCCAATTCAGTTACTTTTAAATCCTCCGTATCAGTTTTTTTTTCTTAAGCAGTTATTGAAAACCACCTGTATCTCATCTACTTTTTGTAAGAGGAATGAGAGATTGTCATGCTAAGCCCTATGTTAAGGAATTCAGCCATATGTAACACTTGATACAATGCTGGGCACTTGAGAAAGAGTTAAGGAATATTGACTGTCATTGATGATCATTATACAATAACTGCTGATTACCTTTAACATGCATTATCTCAGTCTTCGTAAAACTCCTATGAGAGCGCTCCTGTTAAAATACTGGGCGTCTACAAGTAAGCACTGTGGATACACACCACTCCTGCAGATTGATAAATACTGTATAAATAGGTCAGGAAGATACAGCCCATGAAGGAGATAAGGTCATAAATTACTCTAACGGATGTCAGGCTTAATATAATGAGCATAACAAGATACTTGTAAACAGAGAACCGTGCAGATGCAGACCAAAAGGCATGAGTCATGACTGGCTGCCAGGATCAGAATGAGCTGCACCTTGGCGGCGAAGAGAGTGATAGGGTGTTCTAGACCCAAGTTAGTAAGAACAACAAACAGAGGGGAAAAGGCAGCGTATTCATGGAGCAGCAAGCAGGCTCGCCGAGCAGGTTTGGGAAAGAGGGGAGTAAAACTAGAAAACTTTGATTGAGCAGTGACTAAGCCAGGTACTGTGTAAGTAATTTACATGAATTATTTTAATTAATCTTCAGAATTCTTTAATGTAGGTACCAGTTTTATTCAGACAGGTGCACTGAGGCAGACTTGGGCTCTGTAGAGGCTGATCTTAAATCCAGGCACACAGATCATAGCCCACACTCCTATGCACTGTGCTACACCTCCATCTCCCTTCTGCTCCTGAGTGGGGAGGAAACTGGAATGATGATTCCAGGTCTTAATGCTGCAGGCACCAGTGTCCACTAGGAAGTGCAACAAGCCAGACCAACCAAAGCAGAACAGGCCAGTTTATAAATATTTAAGCATACTTGCTAGTTTGCAGTAGAGAGAATTGGTGATCCTGCTTTCGTTAGGAAATGTCACGTTTCATGTACACAGTAGTGACTCCCTAAATGAGTATACATTTTTTAGATATTCATTAAAAATATACCAAAAATGAGACCCTCTCTCTCAAAAAAAAAAAAAAAAAAAAACACAAAAAGTTTCAACCAGTAAAGTCACAACAGAAATGTCTTAGCTGGCTCAAACCTTTAGAAGGCAAGCTTCATTTTTCAAAATACTATAATCACCACAAAATACCCACCACCCATAAATGAGTTTGCTCAAACTGCAAATCAGATGACTTACTGACGCTTCAGAGGCTATTTATTGGCTTGTGTAAAGCATCAGAATGAAAGTATTTGTTTCTCAGCTTAAAAAAAATTCCTTCTCAGGTTGTTAAAGTGAAAGAGGAAAAAGTAGTCATTTACTGTAGACCTGTAGTCTATTGAGACTGAGTATAGGGGAGGCAGCGTTCGTTTGGTAATGGATAGTACTGATCCTTTGATTAAGGACGTGAATGAACGTCTCTGCTATGTCACCTGTTCATTGCCACAGTGAGGCTAAATGAGTTTGACCAGCCACTTTCTTCTTTGATTCAGGCAGCCTGTTTTGAAAAAAGATCCATAGGGGAAACATTCTTTCTAAAACAAATTTTCTGTGAATGATAACTTTTTTGACAGAACAATTACATTTGTAGAATTTAAACCTCTTCTTAGATGATGGTTGCAGCTGATACATGTTTAAAGTTCAGATAGTACTATAGTGTTCCAGGTGGCTCCCAGACCCCTATATACATTCTCTGGAAGGAAATACACCTGTCAGGGTAGGGGAGGAAGGCAGTGCCATACAGCTGACTATTCTGTGCTAGTCCATCCATATTTTGCCTGACTGGGGCTGGATTGGATGATAGGATGGGGATCTTCCCACTGAGAAACCCCTGTGATTAATGTGACTGATGGCATTAGCATTGGGAGACAAGTTGCTTTTGGCAAGACAACAATTTGCAGTGAGGTAGCACAGCGAGATTAAGAGCTGCATGCAATGGGGACTCTGGCCACAGTCTGAAAAGACAGAATGACTGGCTGGGCAGACTGCTCTGCTTGACTTTAAATGATGAGTTGTCTTCTGAATTCAGTTTTAAAATAAAAAATGAAAGTTTCTTTCTCATAGGATTC